GCTCCAGGCCGAGACGCAGCCCATGCGTAACCCCTCTACCTGCCAACAGCCCGCTGCTTTCCAGCATTTCGACCCTTTACAATTGACAGCCCAAAAAAGCCCAGGGGTTCTTACTGTCCACCTGACAATCTCCGCCCCATTACCGACGGAACGGGGTTTTTTTCCCACCACAGTACGCCACAGGGTCCACCCTTTGCCACCTGCCCTTTACAGGGATGTCCCGGCAGCAAGGAGCACGGTTCAGGGTGACCCGATGGCCAGCAGAAGAAATCCAGCCGTAGACTTCCTTGTATGGCCAAAGGCTGTCGCAGCCTGAAGCTTCAATTTCTTTGGTGGGTACAGAGACTGCAAGGCAAGAAATATGCCTCCCCTGGCGAAGGAGGACACCGTTCCGGTCTCTGTGCCCGGCGATACATGGCTGCCCCAGCAGACTTCTTCTCGGAAGCAGAGGGGCAACAGGGGAGGAAGACTGGGTGGGATTGGGGCAGTGGGAGCCTGAGTGGGGAGAGCAGGGGACTGTGGGGGGTGCACCGCAGGAAAAGATTGTACAGGGAGAATGTTTTAGCAGAAAGCGTCTGTGAGGGTGTCATGGTCCCTCTGCTCGGTGGACGTGGGATGGTTCATTTACCACATTCTCAAAGTGCAAAAGAAAATTCAAAGGGAGTTTTACTTCAATCAAACAGTGAAACTTTATTGTGTGCCAGTAAAGCGGCGTGTGACAGGTAAAGGTGTGACAGGAAAGGTAAAGTAAGGAGGGGGAAGAGAGTAATAGCTCCCACCACGGGTCCAAGGCGTCCCTATGGTCCCAGGTCCTTGCGGCGTCCCACTTGTCCTTCTGATCGTTGTGATCCTCGGTGAGGAAAGCTTCCCAAGTTGGGTTGCTAAGGATCCATCTTTTATACCAGCTGATGCACTTTGCTCCTCCTCTGTCCCATGGACTCCTGGGGTTGCCCGTCCCTGCTGCGTGGTTGTGCCTTCTCGAACGAGGCTACCACGCATGCTCAAAGAGGAGTGTCCGAGGCGTGATCTTCCTTAGAGGCGGGTAGCTTTTGGCCAGGAGGTGTGTGTTTACATTATAATGATATTATAATGAGCAAAGGTCACCTTAGTACGATTTCTTTATCAGCATCAAGATATCCATCTTCCTTAACAATAGCCGGGCAGTTGCCGGCTCCTTTAGGTAACGCAAAACAGTTCAGCACAATACATGGTGCAGTGCAGAGCACCTCATGGCAGTGTCACAGCACACTGCACAGCACAGCACTACACAGGACACTTCATGCCAACCAGTTCTGGCTA